CCAACTAAGCAATGATTACAAGATTTAAGAAATGTACCTTGCAACTCTAGTAAGAACTACTTTCTAGCAAGAGTTTGAAGTCTCTTCTCGCTGATATGACCAAGCCTCTTATGCCAAAGATCTATACTTTCACCCTTCTGAATTACATTAATCTCTCCTTTGTGTAGATTAGCTTCCATTATATAAAAAGAGTTAAGCTTGTTTCATCTTGTCACAATTAGATAACCTTTAGTGAGTTTTCATTTGCTTTCACCAAAATAATATGTAAATCCCTCATCATCAAGTCTACCTATAGATATCAAGTTAATATGAATATCTAGAACATGTCTAACATCTTTGAGTATCAATTTTCTCTCAATACTAGTCTCCAAGCAAATATCTTCAATACCCACAATCTTAGATGTACCACTGTTTCCTATTCTAACATTACCAAAATCATCAGCAGTGTAAGATCTAAAAAAATCACCATGAGAAGTAACATGAAATGAAGCACCAGAGTCAATTACCCAGTTACTGTCCTGAGCTACAAGACTAACATAACCGTCATCACAAATAATAATGATATCACCTTCAGCAACAATTGTATTGGTCTCTTTCTCATTTTTCTTCCTTTCATTATGTTCTCGCTTCCAAAACATACACTCTTTCTTCATGTGACCTGGCCTGTTATAGTGGAAACATTTGATATCTCTTCTAGACTTGGATCTTCCTCTATAATCATGTGGATTTCTACTATGACTTTTTCCACGTATTTCTTATTTTTCAGTAACAAATGCACCAGAAGAAGATTCATCATGTTCTTTCCTTCTGGCATCTTCATTTAACAAACTATCTTTAACCATATCTATAGTTAGAGTCTCCTCTGGCGTAGAGTTATAAATTGTCATCATATACATTTTCCAACTTTCTGGTAAAGAGTTGAGAAGTAATAATCCATGCATCTCATCATCTATATTCATTTTTATAGCAACCAGCTCATTTGCAAGACTCTAAAATAGGCTTATGTGCTCAACAATATTACCACAATTTTTATACTTCAAATTTACAAGTCTTCTGAGGAGATGAATTCTATTTCCCATTGTCTTTTTCGCAAAGAGGTTTTCTAATCTTTGCCAAACAACAGCAGCTCTGGTTTCATCAGAAATATGTTCATACAAATTTATATTCAT